GATAGGAGGGCCTGGCGTGCTCTGGTCCATGGGGTCACGAAGAGTCGGACATGACTAAACGACTAAACGAACGAAGCTTCAATCATAACTTTTGTTTTAAAATTTTTTTTTAAATTTTCATTAATTTCCCTGCATTGTTAAATGTAGTAACATCAATATTACCAAAAAAGTCTGATTTTATGGATCAATTTAAGGGGTAAAACCCAAATATCTTACATTCATTGATTTTTCTTGGATTGTTGGATCTCTACGGCAGCCACAGTTGCAAAGTTTTTTTCACAGTTGTTGTGAAAAACTGTGAAAGTTTTTTCCTGGGAAACACATTTGAAAATCAGATATGTTCCACCAAAGAACTATTTGTATTTAAGGGGGTGAGTTTTTTTTAAGAAACAACAACAATATAATTATCACCTCATTTTATCCATCCATCCATCCATCCATCCATCCATCCATCCATCCATCCATCCATCCATCCATCCATCCATCCATCCATCCATCCATCCATCCATCATTTATTATCCATTTGGGTAAAAGGCATAAACAGAATTCATGCTTTCAGACGTTGGTAGAAATGCAGAGTAGAACAGCAGCATCATTGAACAACAGCAAAAGCTAAAAGGTTGCCAGAAAGAAAAAATGCTTAACCTCCTCCATTACACTGAGAAAATTAATGAGTCAATAAGCATTCCTCTGGTCTTTCCCAGGTCCCATTTTTTCATCTCTCCTATATTGCAACCATGTCATGAGAAAATGAATATGAAAGAATCAGGAAGGGAGGGAGTGGGGCGGCGGCGGCCATATTGTCCAATGAAGCAACAGATAATAAGTTGGAGAAAGAATCTCAAGGTTGCATCCTGGCAAACTTAGTGGACAGGCAGGTTTATCTGGAATTAACAAGCTCAAAAAGAGAAAATGTTCATGTCACTTTCAGGTTTAGAAATACTTCTGAAGGTGTAGCTGTGGACATGAGAATAATTCAGTATTCAGAGTTCTTTGGGAGTTATTATGGCTCATTTTTAATCCTGTCAGTGTTGGATGGAATATCTTTTTAGGTTCTTAGGTTGTACTTGGAATATCTTTAATATCTGACTTCTTCTTTGGTTGTACAGAAGAGTCATATAGGAAATGAATCCACCTTTGAAAAATGTATGGCTTTGCATGGCTTGCCTCTAATCTCCAGGAAGTTTCTTTCTGTTTGGTACCCAATCCTGTCAGATGGTGGAGCTAGCATTCCATTCTGCTCAGAATATTTTTGGCACTTATGTGGCTATGTGTGGATTCAGAATTTTTCAGGATATTGCTGGGGATGTCTGTGTATCAGCGTAGGAGGAACAGTTTATCTTGATCGTTAGTTACCGTATTTCAGAAACGGTTGAGTCTCTAGATTCTCCTGTAGAAAATGGGGAAATTAAACAACAAGGTGTTAATAAAAATAGAATAGCAAACTAATATACAGAATTTGATGATATAAAACTGGAGAATGAACCTGGTTAAGAGCACCTGGAATCAATTTTCTTTTAATAACATTTGTCAGAATTGTGTCTCATCAAGAATTAAATCTATTGACAAGATTTAACAAACAAGATGGTAGTTACATTCATATTATACATGGGACTGTGGAGAAGAACCACAATATTTATTGTTTTTCTAGTTCAAAACAAGATCAGTTTCTTACCACATGGTTAAAATCCAGTAGTATGTCACAACTTGAATCAATGGAACTTACAGAGGAGTTGACTCACCAAATCCCAGCTGATTCAATAGGCCTATTTTTTGTTATGATTTTCTACTGTATTTGAGCCAATAATTTACAAGCTTAATTCATGTAATTTCAGGACAACAAAGAAAAAAAATGTGTTCAGTACTTCTACAGTTTGTAGAAGTTTGAGATTAGCTACCATGTTTCCCCAAAAATAAGACAGGGTCTTAAATTAATTTTTGATCCCAAAAACACATTTGGGCTTAAATGCAGGGTATGGTTTATTTTTTTAATGTTGAACAATCGACATTTATTCAGATACAGCCATGTCATCTTCTTCTGGTTGAGGGTGGGCTTCCACTTAACTGGGGCTTATTTTTGGAGTAGGGCTTATATTGCGAGCATCCTGAAAAATCATACTAGGTTAGGTCTAATTTTCATGGAAACAGGGTAGTCTTTCAGTTTCTGAAGTTCTTTACTATAATCCTCCTAAAATCATTCTATAATTATTTTTCATATATCTGTTTGTGCAGATTTATATAGTTTATAAGGGGGGGGAGAAGGAAGCAGCTGGAAACCATTCTTTATCTGTGATATTATCAGAGTGTTCTTAAAATGAATCATTCCTTCATAGTCTTACCTAATTTTTTCATAAACTACTTGTTTTGCAGTGCTGTAAATCCTGCCAAATTATTGAAAATGTACTCTTTTCTGTAGTGCCCTAGAGGTCATAGCCCTTGGACTGGAGTTTCCCAGTTCCTGCAGACATCCCAGAAGATAATCCAGTTTGCATCTGGCAAGGAGCCACAACCAGGAGATACCATAATCTACGTGGCTGGTGCATTTGACCTCTTTCGTATCCTTTCGTCTGTTTGGAGGGGGGGGTTGGATGGAATGAGTGGGTTGCTTACAAGATAAATGAGGCATTCTGACACCCCATGTTGGTATTGTCTGAATCTCAGATCTCAAGAGGTTCTTTTATTCACAAAAAAACAGCACAAATGAACTTCAGTAGTTCTGTTAGAAATGCTGACCCCTCAGTTCCCAAACAATTCTTTAGATGGTTGGCTCCATCCCTGCTCTGCTTCAGTTTATCTAGTGGTAGACTGTGAACCCTGAGCCCGGGTTAATACTGAATTGTTAGAAATGTGTAGGGACTGTCATGTCACAGCACAGCTAGTATAGTACATGTCTTAGAAGAGATTGTAACTGGGATTGCTAGTGTGGCCCAAGGGAGTCAAGATGTGGCCTAGAATGGCTCTCACAGGAGCTATAGATTCTAATAACCTTTGTAGTTATTTCTAGAAGTTAATTCTACCCTAGTCAGCCTGTATTACGTCCCTCAATAGGAAGATTCCTTCTCATAGCATCCCAGTATGCTACCAGAACTACTGAAAGAGTGATGAGGCCAATAGAGAGTGTGTAAAACATGTTTTAAACAGGATAGGCTACATCTTTCTCTCCAGTCCTAAAGTTTGACACTCTTCCCCATTTCATAGTGCATCAACTAGCATCCTTATCTTACTTTGCTCTTGTTCTTGAGGGAATGCTGCATGAATGCTTATACGTTTCACACTAGCTCCTTTTTAAAATGAAAGCTAGTTTTAAAAGTGTAGGAGTACTATTCTTAGGGTGCTGGTGGCAAAAGCACTGTGCCAAGGTTTCTGTTATAAATTGCAGAATTGGTTTCCCTGTGTTTGAGTCTGGTCCTGAATGGGTGACTGTAAACAATGCACAAGAGTAAGGGTGGATAATGCCTTTTATTAGACCACTAAAAAATCAAACAAATTGCAAGCTTTCATGGAGAAAAATTCACTTCGTCAGGTTTAGCAGAACTCCTTCATGAATAATGCAGAAAGATTGTAGACAAGAGTCCAGAAATTGATGGGAGGAGTTGTCAGTCCTCTTGAGGCGGCTGTCTCAAGGGTCCTTGCAGCATTGTCTGGAGTGTTTATGCCTCATTCTTAAGACCTCATTCTTAAGGCTGCCAGTTACCTTGTGTGTGCTCTCCTCTCTCTCTCTCTCTCTCTCTCTCTCTCTCTCTCTCTCTCTGCCTGCTTGAAACCTAAAGTTTCTTTTTGCCTGTGGGGATGGGGGAAAACAACACAGCACACAATGCAATTATTGCACTTCCATAGCAGTTTAGCTGCTCCTGCAGTGAATGTCTATGTGCAGACCCACAGAAAGAAGATAAATGATCACATTATGTGGGAAGTAAAAGTATCTCTAAATCTTTAAAATATTTTTATCCTCCCCTTACACCATACATGGTCTTCCTTAAAACATATATCCTGCAGATGTTGGTCATGTGGATTTCCTGGATAAAGTGCACCAGATGGCAAAACAACCTTATATCATTGTCGGGCTGCACTTTGACCAGGTGGGTATCAGTGTTATAGGATTTGGGCAGGGAGTTCAACTCACCTCCATTGGGAAGGTTGGGAATACAGTGTATTTTTGTGCTGGTTTTGATTGCTGTGATTAAATTTCAGGAGGTCAATCTGTACAAAGGTAAAAACTATCCCATAATGAATGTGCACGAACGAACTCTCAGCGTTCTGGCCTGCAGGGTAAGTGTTTGGCTAGATTCTTCCTGTTATAACTGGAGCATAGCCTGAAGGCATCAGATAAAGGAAATCCTGTTGAAGCAAAGGAAGTGTGAGTCTGGTTGACCATTTTGTAACCCTAAGAATACTACCTTAAATTTTGTGGAAGACAGGTGCCATGAAAGTCTCACAGATAATTCTGTGTACATTCCACAAAGCAATAAAGTAATGGTTGTTGTGGGTTTTTCGGGCTCTTTGGCCATGTTCTGAAGGTTGTTCTTCCCGACGTTTCACCAGTCTCTGTGCCCGGCATCTTCAGAGGACTGGACTAGGAACTCTGTCCATGCTCTTGGAGCATGCTTTTGGAGCATGGACAGAGTTCCTACTCCAGTCTTCTGAAGATGTCGGCCACAGAGACTGGTGAAACATCAGGAAGAACAACCTTCAGAACACAGCCAAAGAGCCTGAAAAACCCACAACAACCATCAGATCCTGGCCGTGAAAGCCTTTGAGAATACAATAAAGTAATATTTTGCAAACCTGTCTGGTACTTCTGAATCTGAAGTGAAGGAAAGGCCAACTTCAGGATTGTTTGCATGTTTAAAATTATGCTATTTGTAGGTGGCTCACTCCTAATGTTCATGAAATAACATCTAGAACCGTTTGTTGATTAGGAAAGGTGCCATTGCTCAGTGATAAAGCCACAGTGCTTTGAATTCAGAACATTACAGGTTAAAATGATCAAGTATCAATAATAGACTATATCATTGTTTAAAATACCACAGATCTCTTACCTGTCAGAATAGGTAGTGCTGGACTGGATATAGAGATAAGGTGACTTATAAGGCAGCTTCTTGTTTCATGTTTGCAGTGCTGAATAAAGCATGCCCATCAGTTTAGAGAATATTATACTAATTAGAACCCATATTCTGTAACGTGGTATCAGAATAAATGTTACAAAAAAGCATGAACTAAACATATAAATTCCTTTTCCCCTTATGCTGCTACTTTAAAACAAGATCATGAAACAAAAGCATGGGTGGTTTTTATGAAATCTGGGTAGATAATAAGTCGGTTGAAGGTACACTATAAGAATAGAGCACCAATGCTGTAGCAGCTGATCTCTCTGACAGATAGCCAGCCCGGGTGTCTTACTATTTTATGTGTATTAGAACTACATGTAAATAGATACTCTTCAGCTTCCTTTTTATTATTTTTCTGAGGCTATTTCCTGCTTCTTCTTGCTCCATTCTAGTCAGAGGACAGTTCTGCAAATGTTGAAGCTAAGCCTAATGTCTTCTGTATTAAGTTTTTATTTACTGTTTCCTCATACATTTATCTTAGATTTCCTGAGTCAATAAACAGCAAGGCTTTATTTTTCCTCTCCCTGTAAGACTCCAGAACGATTATTGCTCTTTATTAACCATCATAAGGTCAGCACTAGGCACTGCACTCTGCAGATAGAATTGCAAAATAATTCTGATAGACATGGCTTGCAAAGTTAGCTGCAACAAATGCAGCTAGCCCTGCATCCCACTCGGTGCTATTACTCACATCTACAACAGATTTTGACTCCTTAGCAGAAGTTGCTCAACTGTTTCCAGATGTCTTATGAGACATAGGAACTTTTTACCAATTTAGAAATCCTCAGTTTTCTGTAAAAAGTTACCAAATTTTTCCTTAGAGCCTTAGTTTTTTAAATTTTTTACACAATTACAACAACTAATAAACGTTAAAACATCTAGTAAACAAAGATAAAATAAAAAAAACCTACATACACAATGCACCCCACCACCAGAACCATTGAGTAACTGCTTAAACCATTTACCCTTTTAGGGGCCCTTTCCCTTCCAAAATTGCATAGACACATGTGTTAAACTTTGTCCCTTTCCTTTTATCATTACAAAATCAATAAATTCTCCCCAGATTAGAAACTGGTTCTCTCATTGTTCACTTCTCTACCTCCTTTTCGAATATTGATAAAAGCACTATCTTAGGACAACCAGCTAAGTTTAAATTGTGTATTTTATTAATTTTTTTTAAAACCAGTTGCCAAAATTGACATATACTCACATTCCCACCACATATGAAAATAAGTGTCTCTTTTTTGACACCCTCTCCAGCACATCTTAGAACAATTATCATCTTTTTGAATAACTTTCTCTTAATATATTATTAAAAGGATTTTCAATTTTTAAACTATATTTCTATTAACTTGTAAGAAGATGATATTTGCCAAGTTCAAATATAGTTCTTGCCTTTCCATATTCAACCAGATTAATTTATTAGGCTGAGATATAACAGCAGATATATACTTTATTGAATTGACAGTGTAATATAACCTTAAATCAGGCAGTCATAAACCTCCATTTTTGAGATCTCTACTATCTCTTCTTATTAAGGTATTACCTAAGATACATTTTCTATTTATGATGTTACCAATAAAGATTAAGCAAGATTAAGAGTTAAATAATTTTTATCGTATTTTGGTAATCTGTTAACTTTTTCTAATCTTTATTGGTAACATCATAAATAGAAAATTGATTTTAGGTAATATCTTCATTTTACATATTGCAATTCTGCCAAAAACTGACAATCTAATTTCCCTTAAATTAGCTAATAATAACCATCATGAGCCGTCAAGTCAATTCTGACTTATGGTGACTCTTTGCAAGGTTTTCCAGGTGGAGAATACACTGAAGTGGTTTACCATTCCCTTGTTTGGGGGGCACCCTGAAACTCTGCTGCTTGCCCACAGCCACGCCGGCTGGCTTTACTCCCAGAGGGCACAGCTGGGAATCAAACTCCAAACCTCTGGCTCGACAGTCAGATACCGAAACCACTGAGTTGTCCAGCCGGCTTTTTCATAATTACCTGCTTTAATAAATTAAAATCATTTTCTTTCAAACTTGCCAGATAACTAGGACTATTTATATTTAAATATTTAATAATCTTTTCAATATTAATATTTATTTCTTTTTGGACTTTTCCCCCTTTTCCTTAGACCTTTTTTGTTTCTTCTGATAATGATCGTTCAGTGTTCCAGTTCTGCCTTTTGGAATGGCAGTTTTTTTTTTTAATTCTGTTCTGTGGTTTCTGTCAACCAAGGAATCTGGCAGTACAACCATGTTTTTTTCCTGGCCACTTACATTCAGAATTCAGTAACTAGATTGGGTGTGGGCAAGTGTAAGAATCCAGAATCCTGACTGGCGTTTCTCTCTCCCTTCCCCTCAATCCCTTTAGTATGTGTCTGAAGTGGTGATCGGAGCTCCCTATGCAGTTTCTGCAGACCTTTTGGATCACTTTAAGGTGAGTGTATGGCATTGTTGGTGACTGCTGCTTAGTTGCATGCTTCCACATGAAAATAGAAGGTTTCGGTATGCACACAATGCAAGTTGCACCTCAGCGGACCTAAAGCAATGCATGCAGTTATTTCAATGGAGCAACTGAGGTCATTTTGCCTCACCTTTATTTCAGGCATTAAACATCATCTGCATCTTTATAACTATGCAGAATTATCTGGTCAGTCATTATCTCTCCTGAGGAAGTTTTTCTAAAGGATCCATGTCCACTGTGTGCAGACTGTCCACACATCCCTGCCTGATAAGGGGTTGGGGTTGTTGTATCAGAAAGTTTTTGAGAAAGGGGGCATGCTCAAAAGTCTTGGCCAGTATCTCTGCTGTTTCCACCATGATTGTCTTGTCTGTATTTCGTGCTTATTCACATTGTACGTGTAATACAACGGTGGGCAATATGTGCCACCCAAAGACCCAAATGTAGCCCTTCCAACACAACCCACACTTTAAAAAAACCCAAGAAAGAAAGAAAAAGATATTTAAAATTAATTGAATAAATTGCACCGTGTGCCTTTGCAGAGGCGTTTTCAGGAACTGCCTTAGGACTCTTTACACATAACAGCTTTTAATTTATTTTTTAAAAATACTGTTTGTGTCAGATGGCACAAGGGGCCTTTTCCAGGAAAATCACCCCACACCATTTTGTAATGATTCTGAGGGAGGTGGGGGTGTCTTTGGAGAAAGTGTGACTTTTCGAGGGTACCATTCCCTTGATGGAAGTTTCCCATCTGGAAGTTTCCCATCCATGCGGTAATGGATTGGCAGCATCTCAATTCTTAATTGTTAAACAGAGAAGGTAAATTTCAGCTTTGCAAGATTTGCTCTTTTTGTAAAAGGGCCTCAAGACCCATCAGCTGACATCTAGGACAAAGAACACATGTATTTAGAATGACTAAATTCTAAGCCTAGGAATTTGTTTTGCATACCAGAACTGAATGGTGTTCACAGCCCTTCTACCTACACATCTACTCATTGTGACCCTGACTTTCCTAATTTCAGGAAAATAATGGGGGTAGGAGAGTAATTTTGTTCCTGCTAATTGTCAGCAGTTATCATGGATGTGCTACTATTACAATCACTCCAAATATACCAATAGATTCAGATCCTCCTTTTGCCTGTTGCTGATCTTGGGGAGGATGATAGTGAGGGAGATTGTGAATATTGCTATTTTTCTACAGGTGGACCTTGTGTGCCATGGGATGACTGAGGTGGTACCAGATAAGGATGGGTCGGACCCATATGAAGTAAGAAGAATATCCTTCTTTGTTTCTGCATTAGTTTTGATATTGTTTATAGCTCAGATCAAAGCACATGACAGGCAGATTTCCTTCTGTGATGTGTGGGTTTTCCTTTTCCTTTTAACAACTGTGTAACCGGTCATACAGTAATAGTACACAGCTTGTTTTAATTATTTGTGAGACTTGGCTGCCATCTATTTAACCAAGTGCAGAGGTTTTCATCGTGATAGCAGGGGAAGGGGCAGTTTCCTGCCTTCCATAAGTGCAGCTGCCTTACACGCTGTTTACGTGCTTTAGGACACAAAGCCATGGAGTTTTGGGAATCCTTTGGCATATGCTTAATGCTAATTTCGTTGAGAATGCCTGGCTGCAGAGCCAGAATTTGGGAGTTCAGTTCCCCAGCATAACTCCTAGAAGAGTCAGCCTGCGTGGCCTTAGACAAGCTGCACAGTTCCAGGATTCCCCAATAAGTAGGGAAAAATAAACTACTTCTTAGTACTTCCTACCTAGAAAGCCCTGAAAAGGGTCTCCATAAGTCAGAATTGACTTGACAGTACATGATTATTATTATTTATTATAAAGATTATTACAGAGATTATTATTTATTATACAGAGACTTTTTTCCTCCATTTTCTTCCATTCCTCATCAAGCGTATCTTCTCCATGTCCTTAGGAACCCAAGAGGCGTGGCATCTTCCACCCAGTGGACAGTGGTAACATCCTCACCACAGATCTGATCGTGAAGAGAATAATCAAGAACAGGTTGGTTGGTCTTAATTTTGATTCATATTGTGTTTGATAGAACAAGACCTACACTGTACTATGTCAAAAACCCCTGAAAAATAATCAACAATTATTGGCTTCCAATGGTGACTTCCTAAGGTTTTAATAGGTATAAGGTTCTCCGAAGTAGTTTACCAGGCCCTCCTTCTTGTTGTGTTGCGGACTGTGCAGCTTGCCCAGGGCTGCACAGGTGACAGGGCACATTGTTTCATCTGTCACACTGCTCTGGGAGATTTCAGTTGGCTTTTCTCCCAGGAAGCACAGAGGGGATTTTATTGCCTGCCCCTGCTACCCACTGAGCTCTTATCAGCTCAGCAACCAAAAAAGAACAAGAAGGAAACAGAAGGCTCTAGACAGGAACATGTCAACAATAGAGCCATTTAAATGTTCAAAAACAAAAGGGGGCCTCTGAGCAGGAGCTCTGGAGTTCTTGCCTCCTGTAATGTCATGTCTATGTTAATCTTCTGTCTACAGTATTCCAGCTGTTGGTTCTGATGGTCCCAGAATGGGTTGCATTCTTTGGAAACAATACTGCAACCAGAATAAACTATATACATATGAACAAACCACAGACGTTTGTATAGTTAATTCTCTTGGAGCATTGCATTCAGTGCAGAAGTTGGAGAGATGTACTGCTGTCTACACCCAGTGTAATGTAATGCATATAGTGATGGAGTAGGACTCAGGAGATCTGGGTTCAAATCCCTGCTCAGCTATGGAAGCTACTGGAGTGGGGTGGTACTGGTAAAACTTTCCTTAAATAGCTCACTGACCTCGAAAGCCCCATTAAGTTTGTTAGTTAGTCAGTTTGCACCTGATGGCAAACAACACACACACAATGCGGTCTATAGTCCTTACTTTCTCTTTGGCCTTATTCAGTTGTGCATAGTAAGTGCATAGAAGCCAGAGTGCTGCTCCCGCCCCTCCAGTGAGAAGGCTGCTGCAGCTGGATGACTTTTCCATGTGAGCCACATCCCCCCCCCCAGTCATTCCATGTCTCACATAGAAGGGCTGCCTGAGTGGAGCAGCTTCCCCTTTGTCAGATTGCCATGTTTCCAGCTTCCGTGTGATAATGGCAGGAGTGTGCTTCCTTTTATACTTAGTGCCACACGCCTCCTTAAGAATTGAGTAGGATTTTTGTTAACATTGGTAGGATGCATCTGGGTACCAGTAAGGATACAGAAGAAATGTATGCCTGATTTTTTTTGCTAGAAGATGATGTTTAGGAATGTGCCTCTGCATCAAGCAGTACATTGTGACACTAGATTCTTTCTGGTGCTGCTTCCTCTTACCTGGGCCATTTGAGGATACATAAATAAATCTAGTGCTTGGGCTGTTGACCTAGAGCTTCCTCCACGCTATCCTGATAATATTTAAGTATATTCCCTTTATGGTTTTCTCACCCCCTGCACCTTGTCCTAGTTATTTGAAAGGTCACATTGGGATAAGATTCCATGCTGTTCATTGGTCTTTTGCCCATTGCAGATTGGAGTTTGAAGCTCGAAACCAAAAGAAAGAAGCCAAGGAATTGGCTGTGTTGGAGGCCATGAAGAAAAAAGAGGAAGAAGCTGCCCAGTGGAAGGCAGGCCAGAGTGGCCAGGAAGACCCTAAGAGTTAGCAAGGAGAAGAGTGCAGCACAATCCTCTCCTCCTAGAGGAGAAGGATACCGCTGCCAACCTCACCAAGGCCTGTGGTCCTAATTTTTCCTGGTTTCAGTTACACCAGCTATGCGTGGGGAAGAGCCAGGATGCTGCTATCGAGCTGATACAGGCCCACTTTTTAACATTACCCTCCCAATAACAGGTTTTAATTCCAATGAATGTCTGCAATTCTGTGTGATTTTACTTTCAGGCAATTTTTGGCCTATTGGAACTAGGGATTAAGGGTAATCTCTGCTCGACTACTTCTGAAATCTATAAATTTTGGAATATGCCTCTGATTTCTGCCTGCCAATGTTCTTATATTTAATGCCGTCCTTTCTGGTCTGGCAGATAGTCCACGGAGCACTGTTGGGATCCGAAGGCACTCAGTTCTTACAGTAGCTGCTGATGTTGGGTCAGATGTCCGTGAGGCTTTCCCTTTTCTCCTGAGAAACGCTGCAGCCAGTCTAGCCACACATTGCCTATCTGGAAACAAAGGGTGTGTGTGTGTGTGTGTGAAGAAACAGTCCATAACTACTTACACTGCCTTATGCTGAATATGATACATTCAAATCTTTAGAAGCTGTAACATCAGATAGAGCTTAGTGAGTCCCAGCCTTCGCCCAGTGGCGTTGTTTACCCTCCTTACTGCTCAAACCTGTTCTTTTCGGCCCCATGGCTAAGCAAGAGATTGGTGGGGCTACAATGTTTAATGTCCCCGATATATTGTAAATCTTTTGAAATCTCATCATGGGCTGGAATTATTTCCTAAAGTCCCAGTACATTGCTTCACAACAGGGTTTCATCCACCTCCACACTGGCCCTGTGGTTCTTCGTGGGGGGACTGAGACATCTGTGCCCTGAGCTGAGCATTCTGACTATTTTTATAGTTTACGTTGGATGCTTTGTGGTGAGGATCAGGCACAGATCACTTGTCTGAGGCTTCTTTCTCATGCATGATGCAGAACACCACAGGACTATACATGAGAACAGGTTCTTTTCTGCCCTGGTGAGCCTTTTTCTATCTTCCTTGTACATTTTCAGCAGTGGACATTAATAAAATGTTGATGACCTCTGTTTGTGTCAGTGACTGGGGTTAAACTTAGAACTGAAAAGAGGTGGTTAAGGCTTTTTGTCTGATGAAGCAAAGAAGATGCAGTTTCCTTTGTAAGCAAGAATGGGAGTGGTAGATCATCCTATATGGTGATGGAGGTAAAACACATTGTAACCATTGCAGGCACATGGAACATGTTGTTTGTTAAAGTGCCACAAGACTCATTGTTAGTTTTGCCAACTGTTACCCTTTGGTAATCCAAGAAAAGTAGCTGGAATTTCTTTTGTTGAGAGGGTGAGGCCCACAGTGCATGCAAACATATTAAAGCTACCATAGCTGTTAGAAGCCTTATTTTCATTTGTGGCCTGGCACCACCAGCTGCTGCTATCCTCATCTCCAATACTGTTGGGTTCACTGTTGTTCCACTGTACGTGAAAGACAAAGTCCAGGCCATTAAGAGCAGCTGTGTCGCAGTGGTGTCTCCCATCACCCAGGGCATTCACCAAATTGATGGTAGCACCAGTACCTCAGGAAACAACATTCTGTATCTCAACAAGCTTCTGATTAGAATGGCTTCTTCTGGCGCAAGGAATCAGATGTTAAATTGAACATCGAGGCTCTCTAGAACCAATCTAACCTGGGCAACCTCAGTCTATTTACTATATTTTTCTGTGTATAAGACACCCCCATGTATAAGACAACTCCACTTATCTAACCTAAAATTAAGAAATCTAAGTGGCGCTTAGCAAGTGTAGGGGGAAAGGGATCAAAGCAGTGCAGGATCACTTTGATCCCTGCTTTCTCCCTTCATGCTAAGCCCCATGGGGCTCAGCAAAAGGAGGGGGAAAGGGATCAAAGCAATCCTGCGACTGTATAATTGTTTTGATCCCTTTCCCCCTTATACAGCCATGGGGTTGCTTTGATCCTTTCCCCCTACACTTGCTAAGCCCCATGGGAATTAGTAAGCAGAGATGAAAGCAAGGATCAAAGCCATCCTGCAGTGCTTTGATCTCTGCTTTCCTTTTACTAAGGCTTTGCAAGTGGAGGGGAAAGCAGCTTACTTCCATGTATAAGATGAACCTCAATTTTTAAGTCTAAAGATTTTAGACAAAAGTATAGTCTTGTACATGGAAAAATATGGTATTCCTTTCAATCTGTTCAACATCTGGGAATGATAATTGACACTCACCTAGGCAGGGTATTTCCTCCTACAGGCAGAAGGGAAAAATAGTTCAGCATGTGTACCTGGTGACTGAGCATCTGCACACACTGCTAATGCAACTGGCTAAAGGATCTGTTGATCAATCATGGACTGCACACCCTGGGCATGTTTTCATGCATGCCAGTTATGAGGGCTTCTGTGTCCTTTTCAGAGGGAGATTCTTCTCCAGAGTCCAAAGAGGATAGTGGTGCCATCCCAGTTACTGCACTCTCTCTTGAGTGGAGGACATCCCCTGTTCTCCTCAAGAGCAAGTTCTTCCTTCAGCCACAGAAAATATAAATTGCAACCTATGGTAGCCTTCAGGCTTGGGGAGGGACTCATCTTGGAACCATCATGGCACAGGGGAAATGGTTGAGGAAGGAAAGGAGCTATAGCATAAACTAGCTGAAGTTGACAGCAATCCGATTAGCTCTCATCAGCTTCTCTTGCCTAGTCCAGGACTAGGCAGTTCTAATCCAAACAAATGACACATAAGCAAAAGCCTTTGTGAATCCTCAAGGAAAATCTACTCTTTCTATCTGATGATGGAAGTGTCATCTCTCCTGAAATGGGCAGAGTCCAATCTCTCTAGAGGCAAAACACATCAAAGGGACTGTGAACACTTGTGTGGATTGACTGAGCTGAAAACATAGATCAAACAGAATGGAGTCTCGTCACCTTGGTGTTCAGTTGATCTACTGGGAATCTAGACAAGCCAGTAATAGATCTATTTGCATTCTTGGGAAACTACAATATGGGAAGATATTTTCCTGGTACTGGACAGCAGGAGCAGCCAGTGTGGATGATCTCACAGTCCAGTGGCCCCCAGGTCTGCTTTGTGCATTCTCTATAGCCCTGCTAGGGAAAGTCCTCAACAGAATAAGAACAGAGTTACAGGAGGTCATTCTAATAGGTCACTTCTCACCATGAAAGGTGTGGTTTTCCATTCTCTAGGAACTAAGTTTCAGCAAATTAAAATTACCAGTCACTAAATATCTGCTCAGTCAGGGAACAATCTTCCATTCAGACTCAGACTGAAAGGGAATCCCTCCAAAATAAAGGCTATTCAGAGCAGGTGGTCCACACAATGTTAACATCCTAATGGGACTCCACCAGTAAACCTTACAAAATCATTTGGAGGGGTTGCAGGTGCTGGTATAAAAGAAAGAACATGCAGGTTAGCAAAGTCATAATACCTGATAGTCTGGATTTCTTGCAAGGGGACACAGCTAGGAGCCTAACAGTTAATACCTTAAAGAGACAGGTAGCAGCCCCAGTGTAAATTCTACCCTCTAGGAAAGGCAATTCATCATACACACAGAAGGACACTAAAAGGTTCCTTCAAGGTATGCCATTAAGGGCCCCACTGGCAGTTCATAGATTCTCCTCCTGCAATCTTCATATAGTCCCCAAAGTATTTACCAGGATTCTCTTTGAACGTCTCAAAAAGGTTTCCTTTAAGTATATTTTGTGGAAGGTGTATTTTCTGACAGCAGTTATATCAGCTAGAATTGTTTCCAAGCTAGGCACACTCACCTCCAGATCAGAACGGTGTAGAGTTGATAGTCCTTTGCTTGGATCTGTTATTTGTTCCTGAATAAGTTCAGTTTTTCCTAGGGCTCAGGAGGTCATCTTGCTTGCTTTCTGTCTGAAACTTTGCACTACTTTGGAAACAGAGTAGAACTCCTTGGATGTTTGAAGGACGATTAAAAATTACTTCGATAAAATGAGACACTTTAGATTTTCTTATTTTCTGTTTGTTTCTTTTTACTCAAGAAACATAGGTAAGGACGTTACCCATGGAACTTTGGCCAGATGGATCAAGGCCTAAATAGATACCTGCTATTTCACTTCAAGCAAAGTAATTCCCTGTGGTATCATGGCTCACAACCTTCAGCAGCATTCAAGTCCAAAAATCTTCTGGATTTTTGTAGAGCAGCCACTTGGAAAGCTAGTCTTTACACAGGATACTTTCAAATAGAGGAGTGATGCCTGTTAAGCAGTATTCATACAACCTATTTAGTTTTCCCTGCAGTTTTGTTGTTGAGCCTCTGAGGCTCCGAATGTCTGAACTGAACCCCGTGGCTCAGTAGACAAACTGCAGTCCTGTAGTCAAGCCTCTGCTCATTACCTGAGTTCAATCCTGATGGGCTCAGATAGACAGCTCAAGGTTGACTCAACCTTCCATTATCCCAAGGTCAGTAAAATGAGTACAGTACCCAGGTTCTGGCAGACAAAGTGTCATTATTATAAACTGCCCAAAGAGTGCTCCAAGCACTATGGGTGGTATGTAATTTGAAACCTCCACCACCACTACACCTGTACCATACACAGAGGTGGCAGGGCCCAGGTGCCCAGTTTTCTCCTTTCGTGGGCCAGTGCAGTCTGCATGTTGGCTGTTATTTCTGAGTTCTCACTTCTAACCTATCAAACCAATACTTATGTCCTGAAACTTCAGCCCTCCCAAGCATTTAATGTTTGTTTTTAATCTTTGGCTCATTACAATTTTTGAATTAATTTCCCTGAGAGCCAAGACTCCTCCAGGCCCTGCTGTTTCTGCAAAGTGAGAGATTTGGAATGAATTTGTCATTAAACGCGAACAGCTCAGCCCAAAGTGGAAAATCAACTGTAGGCTGTACATTTCCATAGGAAGAGGCCGCTGCTGGCTTCCAGCTATTCAAAATTGTTATTAAAAATGTCAGACTTATTTAATTTCTACCATCTCTGCCACAACACAGCCCAGGACTGGAATTTCAGCTCCACTCAGTTGGATGCAATGAGCAGTGCCTGGCAGAGCTGGAATTACAACACTTTATTGCTCTTTCTGATCACAAATCCTTTTGCATTTTGCATTTTTCTTCTGTTCAAGTGCCTGCGGGTCCCTTCTTTTTTGTGCTTCTGTTTGCTGACAGTTTGTTTCCCCCAATAGGGAATGAGAAAGGGGATGAATGAATTATATACCAAAGGTTCATGAATTTCAAATGGCAGCTGTTTACTGTTGCCGCTCTCAATCAAAGCTTTTAAAAGCAACTTTATTTCCAGCTAAAAGCAGTCCTGGGGGCCACATGTTTTTGCAGCTCTCCAGCCTCATTAGACTTTCTTGCTTCCCCCCCCCCATAATTTCTCCCAACAAAGGAAGGTGAATAACCCCCACCCTAGAAGTCCCCAGGAACATAGATTGCAAAAAACAAACAAACAAAAACAAACAAAAAAACCCACCCGCAATATTGTAAACCAAAAAAACCACTCATTTACCAAAGCGGAATGTGGACTTCTGACCCCTTGCAGTTTCATCCCTTCTTTATTTTCTTATTTTGGGGGCAGCTGCATTTGGCAATCCATAGAACCCAGGGGGCTGAAAAATGGCCTCCAGTTCTACCAAAGTTGCCTGTCCCTGTGCTTAGTCTTACCTTATGCTGTTCCAGTTTCAATGCTTGGATTATTAGTTTGTAGAGCCTGACACAGTCCAGCTTAAATTGTGGTTACACATCTCATGAGAAAAGAAGACTCCTTGGAAAAGACCTTGATGTAAGGAAAGTGTGACGGCAAGAGGAGAAGGGGACGACCGAGGATGAGATGGCTGGACAGTGTCATCGAAGCAATCAATGTGAATTTGACACAACTCCGGGAGGCAGTGGAAGATAGGAGGGCCTGGTGTGCTCTGGTCCATGGGGTCACAAAGAGTCGGACACGACTAAACAACTAAACAATGACGACGATACAATGAAAAAAGTCAGTAGTTGAATTGGGCTTTCTCAAACCCAATTAAAGTCACGTAGTAGTCACAGGGTATTTGGGAAGGTGTGTGTATCCTCTTGGA